TCTGACCAATGTGCCCTGCTGGTACCCAGAGAAAGCTTTCTTGTCCTGAGGAATGTGACTTTTAGACACAGATATCTCCTTCTATCTATCTGACAAGGATAATTTTTCTTACATTACATTTTTTTTTTGTTGGTCATGGGGCTTGACCTCTGGGTTTGGGCATTATCCCTCAGCTCTGCAGCTCAAGGCGAGCGCTCTACCGCTTGAGCCACAGCGCCATTTCCAGTTTTCTAGTGGTTTATTGGAGATAAGAGTCTCACAGAGTTTCCTTCCCAGGCTGGCTTTGAACTGTGATCCTCAGATCTCAGCCTCCTGGGTAGCTAGGATTACAGGCGTGAGCCACCGGTGCCCGGGCTGGACTACATTTTTTGAGGCTAAGAAAAAGCCCCTTTGCTTTGTTAGACTTTGAAAAGTTGGAATTCTTTGGATTCATACTTCTGTTCATTGGATCCAAATGGGGGACTGAGTATCCATTGCCACTTTGGGCTTTGTTTCTTTTCAGTCTTATTTCGAACTTTACAACCTCATCTTTCACAATTCCATTTACCTTACTATCTAGTAATCCAGGACACTCATTGTCCCCTCACTCCCTATGCCCTGCCTGAGTGACTTCCCTCTTCTGCCCACATGCCAGGCTGTTGTTGAAATTCTACCTGCCGGGCTGGGAAGGTGGCTCAGTGGTAGAGCGCTTGCCTTGCATGCCTGAGGCCCTGGGTTCGATTCCTCAGCACCACATAAGCAAAAAGAAAAAAGCTGGAAGTGGCGCTGTGGCTCAAGTGGTAGAGCGCTAGCCTTGAGCTGAAGAGCTGAGGGACAACGCCCAGGCCCAGAGGTCAGGCCCCATGACCGGACCCCCCCCAAAAAAAGAAATTCTACCTGCCCTCTGCCATCCAGAAGCTTGGCCAAAAGGTGCTATTTTTTCATGAAGCTCTTCTTGGTAGAAGTTCATAATCTCCAACTTACCTGGGTTCCCTTTCATTTGTGACGACCTTCATCTCACTGAGCCGGTCTATTATTGGTATTTATGGACATGATCAGACCCGGAGATTCTCAAGGGTAAAAGCTGGTCTGGATTCTGTCATCAGTCATTTAATGTTTAGCAGCCCTGTAACATACAGGTCACAGAGGTTTTTTTAAAATTGTATCTTGAAATGAAAATCCTTTTAATTAAACATTTTTTAAATGAATAGGATTGTTTAATTTCCTCTGCTTTGCTTCTCCCAAAGGCTGTCTGTAAAGTGCACTTGCTTTACAAGTACTTCGCCAACAGCTCTCAATTTGGCACCAACTCCAACTCTCCTCTACTTGCAGATTCTTTTTCTTCCAGATAGTGATAAAGATGTTTAGTTAGAACAGAGTGAAGAGTGGAAGTTTCTTTGGAGAGCTCTGAATTGAAAGTCAGCAAACAAGATAAATGTCAAAGAAAATGAATTTTCTAGAAGCAGGAAGGAGGGGAAACAGACAATGCGGCCTCAGAGTTTACAGATGTGAGCCAGAGAGATTAGAGTGGTGTTGAACTTGGAGCACAGCTAACACAAATAAAGAGAAACAGTCTTCAGTAGACATAGTGAAGTCAGTGGATCTGAGGAAGTTTTGCTGTTTAGCGCAAATGGATTGGAAAAGTGGGTGGAAGGAGGGTTAATGCATCACAGAGCCTGTCATAGGAACAATATGACAACCTAAGAGGCTCAAAGTATGGCAAAGACATTGAGACACAAAAGGGTAGAGACCAAGGTAGAGGTGTGTTGTAATTAACAATGTACTCTACAATATTTGTATTCTGGGCACATGTGAACACTGTGTTTCTTAGAATAGGACAGGAAATTATTCAAAATTGAAGGAGAAACAAAGGCACTAAGGAAAAACCTAATTTTGGTATCTCATTCTATTATGACATTATTTAACATCTTAGGGATCTAGAGCTCTCATATAATACTGGCTAGCCTGTAAGTTTTAAAGTTTTTTTTTTCTAAAGCAAAGTAGTCCTTGTTCTTTTTCCAAGTTAGACACAAAAAGAAGTTTTCCCAAACTTTTAAGATTTCCTCTCAGATTGAAGTAAGTCATAAGTAGGCCTGATGCCACTGGTTTCCTGTCCCTCTGCTGATGAGATTTCTCTACTTGAGCTGCTTCAAAGAACAGCTCTAGAGGCCTACTCTATCTTGGGAGGAGTGGTTAAGAGAGGTTTGCCCACAGTAAATCTCTGTAGACATAGGCTAGTTGTTGCTTTTCTTTTGTGAGGTGACCTGCTTTCCTTTTCTGTATCTGGGATAATAAGTAGTGATCAACTCCCCAATAATGATTTTTTATTTATAGCTCTAGATATCAAAATTTGGCACCCCTGACGATATTACAAAGTAGCTTGAAGCCATCCTGCGCAGGAAAGTCTGTGAGACTTTTTTTTTTTTTTTTTGCTAGGCTTGAACTCAGGGCCTGGGCACTGTCCCTGAACTTCTTTTGTTCAAAGCTAGCACTCTACCATTGAGCCACAGTACCACTTCTGGCTTTTTCTGTTTATGTGGTACTGAGGAATTGAAACCAGGGCTTCGTGCATGGTAGGCACTCACTCTACCACTAAGCCATATTCCCAGCCCTCCATGAGACTTTTATCTCTAACCACCATAAAACTGGAGGTGGAACTGTGGTTCAAGTGGTAGAGCATCAGCCTTGAGTGAAAAAGCTAAAGGACAATACTTAAGACCCTGAGTTCAAGCCTCAGTACCAGCACCGAAAACAAGAGCAGCAGCAGCAACAACACTGAACACCAAACCTACGAACTCAAAACAATAATAAAAACAACAACTCCCCTCCCCAAAGTATCATGAATGTAAATTGTCTGACAGGGTATGATGTAAAGGGCTGGCAACTCCTCTCTCTTTTGTTCTTCTCTAGTCATAAGTCATGTAAATTATTTTGGGGAATAAGATGGACTCAGGGTTTTGTTTATTTTTGGCACTAGGGATTGAACACAGGACTTCACACTGGTGATGCAAGCCTTTTGCCACTAAGCTGCATCCCAGCCTTCTTCTTCTAAACATTTTACAAAGTCCTTCTGCTCAAGGTGAAGAAGGCCTGATGTGTTTTTTAGGATTATTTAGGAATCCTTTTCTGAACACCTCAACTAAATGTGGTATCCTTCTTACATGAGTGTGATATACCAATTCAGCCTCGGCAAGTCTTGAACTTGTAAGTGGGACAAAGCGGGAGCTACTACTCATGTCTGGAAACAAAATTGGAAAGTATTGGGTTGGGGATATCCACAATCTTGGATAGATGAAAATATTATCTGGAATTGTTTTTACTTTGAAGTACAGACTACTTTTTTTTTCCCTGGTCATGGGACTTGAACTCTGGGCCTGAGTGCTATTCCTGAGCTCTTCAGCTCAAGGCTAACATTCTTGAGCCACAGTGCCATTTCTGCCTTTTTCTGTTTATGTGTACTGAGGAATTGAAACCAGGGCTTCAAGCACTGTACCACAGAGCCACGTTCCCCAGTACAGACTACTTTTAAGATAACTGGACAGTTTCTGCAATGAGTGCCAATAGATCTAAGTAAGGTTTAAACAGTAAAATATATCAGTGAAGTTTGGTTCAGAATCAAAAGGTATATGAGAAAAGGAGAGATGGCAGAGATGTTAGATACACTTTTAAGCTGTGGAAATTATTTTGATGCTGCTAATATGTATAGTATTTACTAGAAGAGATATTATTTATTGGCTTTCCAATGTGCAATTGCAAAGTAACAATACTTGATAATTGCAGTAACCAGATACAGATTATGCATTATCTATCTGACTCACATTATCTGCTAAGCAATTAATTTGTGGGAGAATAAATCAGTAGATACTCAGTAGCTTGAGTAGTCATAGATGTTCAATTTGAGACTTAATCAGTGAGCTATTTAGAGATGCAGGAAGACATTTCCAGGTAAGGTAAGTGCACAGGCACCAAAACAGGAGTGAGATTAGCCTATTAAAAGATCAAAAAGAAGGCTCCTGATGCTGGAGTGGAGAGTCTAGGGCAGAGTGGTAGGCAATGAGCTGTACAAAACGCTATGTAGAAAAATGAACTTTACAATTTAGGCGGGGGGGGGAGTTGGAGCTGAGGAGGTGGGAGGGAAGGGATGGTAGGGGAAAAACAATGGAGGAGGCAACAATGCTGGATAGGAAATGTACTCATTACCTTGCTCATGTAACTGTAACCCCTTGATTAAAAAAGAAAAAGGCGAGGCCTCAGAGAGGTTCTTAATTCTGATCTAAGTTACGCAGCTTGCCAGTGCTGGAACCAAAACTGGAGCCGGAATCCAGCTTTCTGCCTCTCCAGAGCCAGCCTGCGTTCTCTGCGTTCTAGAACCGCGGTTTCCCTCTTTCTCGCTCTCTTCTCGTCATTACCCCTCCCACAGTTCCCCCCAAAGAGCCCACGGTGTGGGGACTTCGGGCTCTCTTTCTCCCCTGCACCACGTTTGCCTCCTCCGTCCCCACCGCGTGCCCAGGAAGATGCCCAGAGAGCACCCTGTCTGGAGGAACCCTCCCCTTCTGGCTGCCACCCGTGGGGCTTGGAGGTGAGCGGCCAGGCAGAGCCGGGCGCTAGTGGATCGCGAAGCTTCCATCCCTGCTAAGTGAAGGGAGGCCACTCTTCAGCCTGCGCGCTGCCCCGAAGGCATTTTCCATTTCCTGGGCACTCCGGCCCTGTCTCGCTCAGCCCTCGGCCCTCACCCCCGGGGGAGCGCCCCTCGCCGCGGGGCTGACAGCGTCTGGGGGCGCCGGGGTCTCGTTCTCCGCGCTCTCGCCCCTCCGTGTGCAGAGAGCCCGGCGGGCATTGACGTCAAGCGGCTGCGGGGCGCTGCCGACAGACGGCTGACCCGGGCCCTCCTCCACACCCCCTTCCTTCCTCGCCCCCTCCCTCTTCCCCGCACCCCGGCTCCCCGCTCCCTATAAAAGGCGGGAGCGCGGGGGCCTCCCCGGCAGGCCGGCGGCAGGCAGGCAGCGCGGACTTTCAGCACCATGGAGAGCGCCCGCCCGCGGCTGCTGCCCGTCCTGGGCGCCGCCCTGCTGCTGCTGCTGCTGCTGCTGCCTCGGCCCGGCGCCCGAGCCCAGGAGGACGCCGAGCTCCAGCCCCGAGCCCTGGACCTCTACTCGCCGGTGGACGACGCCTCCCACGAGAAGGAGCTGGTCAGTATCGCCCTCGCCCCGCGCACCCCCGGATCCCCAGCACCCCCTTCCCGTGGTCAGATGGCCCGGCCCCAGTGAAAAGCCCCGGGGTCCCTCTGCCCTCCGATCATCCGCCCAAGCCCCTTCGGGCTCCAGGTAGGAAATCTGTGGGGCGAATGAGCCCCTCGTCCCGGGCCCTCGGGGGAACCTGCCGTCCGTACCCTCGATTTTGCGCGCCCAGCTGCAGCCCCACCGGGGTTCCCCCCACTTGGTCGGTGGAGTCCCGCCGCGGAGTGAGCGCGTCCGGGCTCCCGATCTCCTGGGCTGCGAGTGAACACCAGGCCTGGGCTCCCAGCCAAGGCTCAACTTCGGGCTCCCGGGCGTGCGCGCGCGGGGTGTGTTGCAGATTGAAGCGCTGCAGGAAGTCTTGAAGAAGCTCAAGAGTAAACGCATTCCCATCTATGAGAAGAAGTACGGCCAGGTCCCCATGGTAAGGCTTGGGGGGGGCGCGTGGGAGTCCCCCCTCCCCCGGGTTTCCTGGGGAAAACGCGCTGCCTTGGATACAGTCTGGACCCCTGGAGGTGGCTGAGTAAGGCGGGCCAGGGGTGGGCCGGCCGCGGGGCCCCCTCTTGCTCCCAGCGCCTGCCCTGGTCTCCCAGGACAAAGATCGTCGACAGGCTATTTGGGATTGAACAGCGGGTTCCAGGAGCCCGTTCAGTGCTCAGTGGGATGTATTTCCTCGAAGACCAACTTTTTATTCCCCTCAGGAAGAAGTCTCTGAGTGGGAGAGAGCTGGAAGCCACTCAGTTCTTCCTCCCCTAATTTCTTCCTGTCTTCTTAAACACAATCAAATTGTTTTTGTTTTTGTTTATACATCTAAATTCTGAGATTAAAAAAAATCAGTGTTCTTCAGGAAATAAAAATGAGGTTTTTGTCTTTGTTAAAAATAAATAAATAAAATTTCAGCGCTAACAACCTTCTTTAGACAAATACCACACACACACACACACACACACACACACACACATCAAAGCACCCACAAACCCCATACCCACCATCACTAGCACCACCCACATGCACTTTCCTCTTCCTTCCTGGGCTGAGAAAGCAGGCAGCAAAGGTTATGAGGAAGTATAGGTATATTGCTTATTTCTTAGGAAAATTAAAAAGTCTAGTTCCTCTCCTCTTGCTCCCTTTCCTTAAGCAAGAAATCAAGCCAAGAAACTATGATCCTTTCCTAAGATGGGAGAAAGTGAGAGGGGAGCTTTTCAATTTCTTTTTCATTAAAAAAAAGAAGAAGAAGAAAAAGAAGAACTTAAAACTCCTTTCCAAACGTCTGTCTCTGAAATGACAAGCGCACAGCTCTCTGTGTTTCGGGTCTGGTGGCAACCTGTTCTCTCAAGAGACAGACTGTGTGTTGACAGGGAGACAGGTCTCTGGGGACCCCAGCTTGTCCGCGGGGACCCCACTGACCACTTGGTGTGTTGTTTGCAGTGCGATGCGGGAGAGCAGTGCGCAGTGCGAAAAGGAGCGAGGATCGGCAAGCTGTGTGACTGCCCGCGAGGAACCTCCTGCAATTCCTTCCTGTTGAAGTGCTTGTGAATGTGAAGAGCCGGCTGGTGGCCTCCTGACATTCCCCACCCCTCTCTACTTTCCCCAGAGGACCACACCTTTGTCCCTGGAGTTTGGCTTTAGCACCCAATAAAGAAGGGGCTCTTCCTGCTGTTTCAAAATAAAAAGAACACATATGATGTTGCTGTGTGAGGATCCTGCCTTGTGCGGTGTTGATTTTGTGTGCAGAGTATTGTTTTCTCGTTTTAATTGTCTGACAAACTCTTCTCTGCCTTTGGGTAAAAGAAGGGGAACTGTGCTTTGAGAATTGTATTTTTGTATGTGGCATGGTAGAATGAAAATTAGATCTAGTTAATCTCGGTAGATGACACCACATCCTGGAAAACAAAATCCTAAGCAACGCAAACTGAAGCATGTACAAATTATATGGAATAAAGTGTTTTTAATAATTGCTCAGAGCGTATTGTTGTTTCTACACAAGGAACTTAAGTAAGACTAGAGATTAATCATGCTGTTGTTTTCAAAGAGAAATGTTTTAAAAATAGCTGTCTACAGGGAGAGTAGTACCTTAGCTCGAAGGAGTTTTGATTTGGAGTTAATTAGGAGTTTGTCACATCTGCGTTGGTAAACTCTATTTTTCTTTGACTGGAGTAGTGTGGGCCCTGTGTGTGGGGGGGTGGGGTGGGGGGTGGATGGGTGTGTAGAATAAGAAAGGAAAGAAAACAAGAGAAAGAGGAGGTAATTGGATTTGAAATACTACAATTTTATTTATTCAAATCTCTAGCTAGACTCCTTAAGTTTAACAGTAAGCTCCATCAATGTAAAATAATGTTTCAAAGGAAATAAGAAATGATTTATTTTGAGACAAACAAGAGTGGTCAGGGCCTGGGAACATGGATTCAAGTTTGAATGACATACTCTGAAGTGGAAGAGTTATATGAACTTTTATAGCCACAGAACAAAGAAAATCTTAAGTCAATATATTTGACAGATGCATTGGTGGGTCTTACTTAGGTAAGCTGCTAAGCAGGAAAATCTTTTCCATGGGTTTCAGTGCTATCACATCTTTAGAGGTTGGTGCCTGCTAGGGGTCTGCTAAGCATAACAGTGCACTCGAAGAGTTCCCCAACAGAAATGAGAATGGTAGTTCAGGTACAAAGGTTGAAAAGTAATGTTAATGGCTATATCAAGTAATGCTGCTGCTGGAGAATGATCCTCTATAATCCAGTAGGCATTTAATTAAGAAGGAAAAAATGGCTATTTTTCTAAAGAGCCAAGGGTATCCAAAATGACCTAGGATTTAGGCATGCACCATTTCACCCACAATTATGATGCTGTACTCAACAGAGGTCAGTCTGCAATGTCTAACATAGATGTAGCTTCTTTGGAGAACTTCAGCATTACAAGTCAATGGAAGATTTAAAAAAATTAAAAAATCAGAACTTTTGTCATGACAACCGTCATGACAAGTAAATATGCACAGATTTTTTGTTAGTAAATATGCACAGGTTTTTTTTTTTTTTAAATGGGCTCTGGAGGTTGTTCACCCAAAGAAAGGAAGATTGTTGTATCAGATGCTTTAGGAATGTGAGACTTGGGCTGGGCATAATGGCTTATATCTGTAATCCTAGATACTCAGGAGTTGGAGACAGGAGGATACAGGAGGATCGTGGTTCAAGGCTGGTTGGGCAAAAGCACAAAACCCTATCTAAAAAAAAAGCCACTAAAATCAAAGAGGACTGGAGCATATCTGGAGTGGTAGTAGAATGTGATGTCCTTGGTTTACGCTCCAGTACCATAAAAAAAAGGGGGGGGGTTGAAACCAACTTGTTTCTACTAGTAAATATGTAACATTTGAAAAAAAAGGAATCTGTTAAGTAATAGTTTTGAGATAAACAAAAATCTGTGGGGTAAATTCAGTTCAAGAAATTAAAAAATGAAATTCTAATGTGTTTTTATACTCACCTGAGCTCACATTTCCTAAGGTTTAAACCAGACTAAGAACAATTAAGTAGCAACACAAGAGAGACAGTTGTTAAGAGCTTTCTAATCCAAACTCAAGAGGCATGGGTATAATAGCAGAACTTAAAATCAAACTCCCATCCCCAACGGCTTGTTAAGGAGAGTGCTGGAGAAAACACTTACATTTGCTTTATTGTTACTATCAGCATGCCTAATCTCCCTAAGTTTGCAATTAAGGTATTATTACCATTTTCTAAAGTGTGAAACAGAAACCCAAAGGGATTACCAAATTTGCTTAAATGAAATAATCCCAAATCATTATTTCAGCTTTAATCTCTTTATCTCCCTTTATATTTTCCCTTCATGTCACCTGGAGAATCAATGGGCTGACTTGCCAGAAAGAGTTTTTTCTTTTCTTTCTTTCTTTTTGTTGGTCATAGGGCTTGAACCCTGGGTCTGGGTGCTGTCCCTCAGCAATTCAGCTCAAGACGATGCTGTACCACTTGAGCCACAGCGCCACTTCAGGTTTTCTGGTGGGTTATGGAGATAGGAGTCTCACAGACTTTTCTTGAACAGGCTGGCTTTGAACTGTGATCCTCAGATCTCAGCCTCCTGAGTAGCTAGGATTATAGGCGTGAGTCACTGACACCTGGCTAAGGTTTTTTTTCTTTACTTATTTTTTAAAAAAATAGAACCTAGCTCACTGAGAACCAATTTTTATTTTGGGGGTCATATTTCCATTCAATTTTCCCTAGGACATAGTTGATATGTATTAAAATGTGAAATTTTTAAATAAAAAAACTAAAAAGAATTATTTAATCATTTATTTACTACTTTCTCACAAATCATCTTAGCTAAAAATCATAACCTTTTTGAACCCATTAGGTCTTCTTCTCCGTGTCAACCCCAACTAATTTTGATAAGGACATTGCTTTAGCCACTGATGTGTGTTCAGGCTTTGAGTGTTTCTTGTAAAGCAATAGATGCTTTACCTTGTTCTTCTCCCCTATTGCTTCCCAATATTGTATTACCTCTCCTTTTTTGTTTAATGATACAAGAGGGTATTGAAAAATGGTGTAAGGAGAATCTGTGGGCTTGTTAGGAAGAGGTTTTATCCAATTATTTTGCCTGGGGGCCCAGATTTGGAGTTAATGGTTGTGAATACCTGTTCTATCCTACTGCTAGCCACATTTAATCTTAAGAGGCTTGTTAGAAGTAACTTTGCCTTCTCATTTTGTTCATCCTAGGGCTCTTCTTCAAATAGAATACTTCAGTATGTTTAATGATTAAAGGTCCCTGAGGTAGGAGGAAAGAATGTTAAAGATTAAGAAAGTTTTAATGAGAAAAGTAGACACCCACAAGTAAGGCTCAGAGGCTGGCTGAAAAACCTGGGCTCTGAGAGCTGACAAGAAGCTGAAGATCTGGAGAATGTTGCAAGGTCCAGAATAGTAGAGTAGAGCCGCGGGTCTCACAGAGGCCTGGAGATGAGGGATGAAAGCTGCCACATGACTTCTCTCACTCATGGCCACTCCCCTTCCCACAGTCATAAGGGAAATTGCACCTCTCACCCTAGGCCAGAATCTGGAGGGCTGTGAGGGGTACATGACATACCCCTGCTCCTCTACCCTCTTCTGAATCTAAAACAGTATGGAGGGTGTATTTAGGGAAGGCAAACAGGAGTGTGAAATTTATTTTTTAATTATTATTTTTAGACATGGTCTCAGGAAGCCAGTGTAGGAACAAAAACATCAAACAATTACATTCAAGTCTTCAAAACCCCATTTGTGGAAATCCTCCATGATTTTCCGGGAAGAGCTATTTGTTCCCACGAAGATACACAGAGCAAGTAATTATGAAGCCCAATTTAGCCTCAAACTCAGGTGCCTTCATTTTCTAAGTGCTGAGATTACAAGCATGTGCTACTGCACCCAGCTATAATTGTGTCCTTTAAGATCTTGGAGGAGTTCTGCTAAGCTTCCTCCCCTAAAACTCCTGAAGCACTGAGCTAGCTTTAATACAGCCCACTCATTGTTTCACCTTTCTGAGGGCCTCCCCTGTGCCAGGTGTCCAGAACCTAATGACAAATAGGATAGACATAATTCCTGTCCTCATGAAGTTTATAATCCAGTGGGGAGAATTGTTCATAAGAACAAGATTGCAAGTCAGGAGAAATTTTATAAAGCAAATTACATGATCTATGAAGCAAGATGAAGGAGAAGGAAGCAGGCCTGAGGAAGACAGAAGTGAAGATAGGAGAGAAAAGAGAGAGGGTTCAATGGAAACAGTATGGCAAGCGCCAAAGAACGAGGTCCCTCAGGTATATACTGGGGCCTTGCTCAGAGGTCAGGGGGAATCAGCCCATGTTGATAGATTAAAAATATCTCAAGGGAGAGCAAGGCTGGCAGCCAGAGGCAGTTGTCCTGGGCTCAGCTTTCAGTCTTCCTTGTTGAATTGACAGGTGAGTAGAATTTTGCTGGACAAATGTATGTTCATGATTGACTTCCCTTCCTGAGTGTACTTTGTAGGGTTTCTATGCCTGAGCATCTGTCAGCACACTCGTTTCAGCTTGAGAAGAAACTTAGTAAATATGTCTGGCTGGTCTTCCCTTTTCTGAAAACTTAGCAGAGAAGAAGAGGTTGCAAATTTAAAAGAAAGGGATGGAGATTGCTGGAGCAGGTTCTTTTCAGGGAAAAGGGATGGGATTTAGAGCCAGGAAAAAAAATCTTCTGGGGAGCTGTAGGGGAGGGTACATGGCACCTACAGGTGCACGGAGTTAGTGTGAGGGGTGGAAGGAAGTTGGGTAGTTATTTTATGGATTCTCATTTCCAAGGAAAACAGGATATAAGGTTTGCTGAGAGGAAGGTGAAGCAAATTAGCTATTTAATCATTACTGTATATTGCACATGTAATATCAAAGTTGATCATACCCAAGCCTCTAACCACAGAGTGACAGATTCACCATGATAGGACATGATTCATTAAGAGCTACATAGGGTCAAAGATTAATCAAAGGCTATAAGAGGTGAATTATTAAGAATTAGTTATAGACAAAGAAGAATTTGAGTAGTCCTTGAAGGATGTGAAATATTTCCAAAGATAAAGTTTGGGAGAAAATTCCTTTAACATGTGGGAAATGATATGAATAAATGT